ATGCTTCATTATAAGAAACGTTATGAAATTAACACAAGGCTATGGGTTGATACAGGTAAACTTCTATAGGTTGTAGCTTCGCTCTCACGCAGATCATTTAGTATATTTGTCGTGTTCCTTAATTTAAACACAATTTAAAAACTTTCTCGAAGCTCATGTTACCTGGTAGCAGGAAGCAGCCTTAAACTTCATACTCGATGTGATGCTTCAGATTCACGCACTGGAATGCTACGATAGTCTCGTGGGTTACTTAACTATTCTATGTTAACTGCCGTCTCTATTTTTCGTTAATAAGTTGAAAACGTGGAAGAGAAGACCCCGAGCACTGACCTATGTTTATGGAAGAATTCCATCCAATTGAAAAGTCTAGATAAAAACAGTTAGAGAGGGTGGGACTGGAAGGGAACAGTACAATCGGACATCTCCCACTAACGCCACTGTTTGTTTACAGAAATACGACTTCAAGTGATACAGCACGTTTCAGAGTAACTATTCCGTTGCGATGAAGCTGACAAGACAGACAGCGCCAGCAATGGGGACTTTTTATTACTTACACAGACGCTGACCCCACGTACGGGTAAATGCGCAGTTAATTTTGAAGAAGTAATCAAGAAACGTTTTTGCACTTTATATGTTAATTTGTGCAAAGCTATATCAACTGACATATGGGATATTTATTGTAGTTCTGTGTTTGCATCATAGTTTATTTAATAAATTTTTTTCTTCAAATTAATAAGTCATTATAAACCAAGCATCGTAGTTTATTTAATAACATTTTTTTTCAAATTAATAAGTCATTATAAACCAAAACGGTATCATGAATGAGACTGGAAAAATTGGAAGGGTTGAGAAGGAAGCGATTCTGGTTTGTAAATACTATCCTAACATTTTCTTGAAGAGGCAGAACAAACTAATGAGAACACGAAGCTACAAATCCAGCCTCCTGTATGGGCATGTAACTACAAGTTAACTACATCCATAATTACAGTAAGATTCGAAGCCGTGATCTCAGTTTTCGAGAGATTCAAGATGGTATGAGCTTTCGAAACTAATTATCTTTCGGATTTCCATTGGGAGCGGACTTCTCCCGAGCTGTATAATCTATTGCCGAGCCCGTAACTGCACAAACATGAGGGTATAAAGTAGACTCAAGGATAAGAATCTGTAGGAGACTTTACGTTCGTGCGAATTTATTTTGTAATTTAAAATATTCAACAAAACTTTACTGGCAGACATCCTAGTGATCACAACAAAACTTTCCTGGACTCTTCTCTCTTACTTTAAGCTTCTTTTCCGATGCGCTGCCAAACATACGAATCTCGGAAGTAAGGATTTCAATAGGCTACAAAAATCATAAGAAGGAAGCTAAAAATATGTCGACTCCCGACTTCTTAGACACAATAGGCGAAAACATGGCTAGTTCTTGAACTGTATACAGTTTTCAAATATCGCTGAAGTGAAGTCTGTCTGCACTTCAAGTAAGATAAAGATTGCGAAGCGAAACGTAATAAGTAGCTCTAGGAAACATGAAAATAAAGGCAAGTTACTGAGTGGCAGAGACTCCGTAGTTTGCATGGAAGGCACCTCGTATATAGAAATGTTTCGATATGTATCCAAACATCAGATATATATCGGTTATTCCCTGCGAAACCGGCTATATTCAAACATCAGATACATATCGGTTATTCCCTGCGAAACCGGCTTTAAAATAAAGATACAGAACTATTAATTTTGGTTCCTAAACTCCACTACTCAAAAAGGAAACCGAATGGATACTAAACAGTGGAGACCAAGGACCAACTTTAATTTGCTAAACACTAAAATACCCGTATATCCCAAAAAATCAATTTATGGATATTCATTACATCACACAGTTTTGTTAAAAGACCTAGTTCCGATTATAAAACTAATATTTAAATTTAAATTCTCTAATCTTTTAATGAGGTTTCAGGAATGATGATCCCAGAATTCTTTCGTAGGAAGAGTATTCAATAAATAAATGTTCCAGCTCATTTTTACCGTGTAGTAGCCAAATAAAATTTAAAAGTAGTAAACCCACCCTATGAAGGCGAAGTCCAGTAAACAGAGCATTTATAAAGTACTAACTACGTGAGCAAAATACAGCAGTTTGTTGTAAAAAATGTTAATTAGAACGAAAAAGCGTTCGCCGTGATGTAACCGCAACTTCTCCGGCACTTGTGGTATGCGGGATGTGTAAAGTAGGAGAGACTTCAAGGTAGCTGCTATAAGCAAGCAAAACCTATCAGTTAAAGCAGATAACACCGGCTTAAAGTGAAACGTACATTAGAATGCTCGTGTGCTACACTAAGAATAATAATAAGTTCCTGCAGAGTCATCGTTTTCATCTGCACCAAATGCAAAGTTAGTAACGTTAATTATAACTGAATTAATCTGCATTAAGATAAATAATTATTTCGTTTGTGTGTACAGAAATTTCAATGATGCCCGATTAAGAGAGTAGATGAAATGAATAAAAAGATGTGTTTAATAATCTTTATCTTCTTATGACTTCACATTATTTAAGAGCATTAACGCCTCTGTCTCCACTTCTCCATCTTCTACGATCGCACATAGCAGTCTCTCGTGTAATTGTTTCTCCTTCCCCCCCCCCTCTTTCTTATACACCGCCTTCTCCTAATTTAGACTTAGTGAATTATCCGTCTTCTCCTCGAATTCGTCCTCTTTCTCACGTGAGGTTTTATTCTTCATTTTCTCTTATTTCCCTTATTCTGTTTCCCATCATTGTACAGACCATCCATCCTTTGTTACAGCTTAATGGAACTCCTGTGATATAAATGCAGATGTGCTTTGGTATAATCGTATCTCAAGTGTGGTCGCCTGTCAGAAACTTCATCTGCTACCGTACAGCAAGACTAGTGTCGTTTATGGTGATAAACACTGCATCTGGTCACATAAGAGAACAGAGAGCAAAGAATATTGTACCAATACGTAATATTTTTCGACATGTCGGATTGAAGACAACAAAAGTACTAGTTGTCATTCTATTTTGAGGTCCTCTCAATTAAAATTACTATTACTGCTGCATAACAACCGCCAGTTACGCTCTCTGTCCTAAGACATGAAACCAGTTTACATTTCAACACCCTTTTTAACACCCATATTAATAAAAAACAATTTTAATGCATTTTTCTCCCATGTGGTGTATACCCATCAAGTTTTACGGCTGTATATTTGAATGCAATGCTCATCCTAGCGTTATATAACTACGACAAACCCTCCTCCAGTGTTTCCTTTTGTTTGAAACGATATCCTGCCGAGGTGAAATGCCTAAAATAATGACAAATTTAAAATTTTGTTTGAAACTATATCCTGCCGAGGTTAAATGCCTAAAATAATGACAAATTTAAACATTTGTAGACGACGATGTCTAAAGTATTGTTCCAGCACAGATATGTACGCCACAGAACAAGCAAATACGATACTAACAATTAACAGTGTCGATGTCTTGCAGAAGAACTACAGGTTATCTTGATTAAACTTTTTGACGTAAATACGTCTATATTGAAGTGTCATTCGGCAAAAAAGTGGAACGAAAAAGGGAAACGAAAAAGTGTAACCTGGTTACCTAGGGAACGTCATGTTTACTCGATATTGTTGTTACCTAGGAAACGTCAATTGTTTACTCGGCATTGTTGTTACCTAGGAAACGTCATCTGTTTACTTAGCATTGTTATTACCTATAAAACATTACATTACATTTCATTACATTACATTACCTTACCTTACATTACATTCAGCTACCACAGACCCATCTTAAGCGTAACTAATTCAAGTTAAATAAGCAAAGTCTTAATCAAACTTTACGCAATTGTAAAGCATGTATAAAGGAAATATTTAGAATAAAGCCAATATATAAACTTCCTTTCCGTATAGACGTATTTACGTCTAATTCTCCGGAACCGTGGTTCCACTGTTACTTTTTTTCTAGCATTCCAGGCCTATTACGGGATAGCAAGCCTGCCTTCGTATTTCACAGTCGTCTCCTTCCAGATTTTTACCTACTCTCTGACGATATTCACCTTAAATTTCATTTCACGCAGATGAGTTTGTATTGCCAGCCCTTGGAATGATAAACTGCAAATATGAACAGGCTTAGGACACTCCTATCTACAACTTTTAATTTCCGTAGCACTTAAAAGTGAATTTCTTTCAGCGGAAATTTTATTTGTAAAAAAAAACATGAGAAATATTTCTGTGTCCTTCAGTGATGCAAGCCGTAGCACGTACAGAGATACAATAACTGTCAAAAAGTTGTTTTATGAGGCATACATATTTGAAATTCTAGCCACTCCTCCGTTATCCAACGTTTTTCGGGCTATTTCATATTACAGAATTTTTACGTGGACGTAAAATTGATACGAGTTGTAGAAAAAATGTTCTCTCTTGGTGACTGAATTGCTATCTGAGAATTCCATTAAAATTCTGACATTTTTATAGATATTGAATATGCATTGCATTTCAATGTGACTTCCAGGACAGCTTCTGCAGGCTCTGAATTTTAAAGTTTATCGAACTCCAGAACATGTTTGTCTAAATCATAACGATGCCATCTGTTATGTGACGTGTTAATCTTTGCAAGACTGCAGAAATAGCCTCATCGCAACGTGCAGTTTGGAAAGTAACGCTCTGCAGTTACTTCATTATTCAGTAATTATATATATTGACGTGAGGATAAAGCTATGTAACACATCCAAGCTTCAATGCTAGGCTAAGCTACTGAAAAAGCATCGTTAAATAAACAACAGATATGAATAAACTTACAATTATACTGTCATGTTACGTCGGCTCAAGGTAAAATTACCGAATACTGGCAAGAAGTATAGCGTACTTCTTCGCTTTGTCAGCAGATGTCGGTTTCGAATAACTGCTGCACCAGCTTATGTTCCTATGTTTACCTCACAGATGTCGCTAGTATATTTAGCGTTGGCAGCCCTCGATTTGGTTTGTTAGTGTAACTGATTTGTGGGTTGTCAGCACTGATGAGAAAAGTTTTATATGCTGTATATGTTGAGTTTGGTACAGCTGTGTATGGATTTGTGTTTATTTATGTGAACGTAGTTAATGCGATGTGATCCACGCTAAAAGAAGAAACTTCGCTACTTGGAAATAAATGGCTAATCGCCCAAACTTAACAAAATCAAACTGCAAAGCATCGGATAGTTTTTACTCTATTAACGAGCGTCCAGTAGATGATATATCCATAGAGCTGTTTTATAGACCACATACAATAACATTATTAGCCGTTTCGATATGTGCAGTGTTTTATTCCGCTTTTACAAGGTGAACATTCTAAATCAACATCGCGGTCGAGTGGTTAATAGTGTTGCTTCGTATTCGAGAGGTCGTAGATTTAAATCTCGGGTGTTCGATACCGGTTCTCCCGGCTGGTTTACCCCACCTCTGTGTGTTCACCCTTCTTAATCATTCCCCTAAAAACCACTCCTCATAAGAATTAATGTCATTGTAGATATGCTGAAGAAGTGTGCTAGGCCTATGCCTCATTGAATATGGTGTTTGCATTTTCCAGTTGGTGTTCCCCCACGTTTTGGTAGCATTGGCCATGAAAGCTTGAACATAATCGTTCGGGGCAAATGGGCTGGAAGATTAGGGCATGTTCCTTGGCCTCACAAGTCTTCCCACCTGATCCCATTGGACTTTTACTTTTGGGGTTATATTAAGAACTACACCTATTCAAGGCATGACTGATCTGAAACAGCTGAAAGCCCAAATCAGGCTACTCTGAGAACAGGTCAAGCCTGGCAGGAACAGGATTGCTTTCTTGAGCTACAAGACACACACATTGTATTTATGTGATTACAACAAAAATTTGCAAGCAAAACTACTCATTGTGTGCTACTGAATTTTCTTTAACCTTTTTACATTTAATATGTATGGTTTATGAAATTCTGGTACTTTTTCATGCATTTTGTATAATCAGAGTTATTGAATGGGTTGTTAAATAAACCAAAAATAATGACTTTAATACTACCTGATGTAGCAGAAGTGGGAATTACAAATTGATAATATTTTGATGGAAGTAAATTGCCCTAAAATTTCATAAGTTCAACTAGTTATTTACAGTTGCAGCTTACAGAAGAGTCTGGACTTTTGGCTGGTAGTCATTTTAGCCAGTTTGTTTTAGAAGTGTTTTTTTATTATTTTCCAGAAATGAAGGTGATGTGCAAGACAACATATGGGCTGGAATATGTTGTGTCATTTTTTTCTTCTTAATAATCTCAGTCCTAGCTTTTCCAAATGGGCCATTTACAAGGCCCCATCCAGCTGTTTGGCGGATAGTATTTGGAATGAGTGTTCTGTATCTTCTTGGGCTACTTTTCCTTCTATTTCAAAGTTACAAAACAGTAAATGGAATTTTGGTGTGGATAGATCCATCTTTAAAGGATTTTCACATTGATATGGATAAGGTATATATTCATAAAGATGTCATTTTATTATATATGTAAAATACGAGTTACAAGACTTGATTTGACTATGAGGATACAGTGCATCTTCAAACCGCATGGCTTCTTTCTGTAGAAGTAATAATATAATATCATCACTGCAGGCATAAAGTAGGGATTAATATCTTAATTACTGAACTTCAGAGAAATCATTGAAAAAGGTGTATTTTTGCGACAATGATGTTTAATGTTGTATGTTTGCAGATATATTGTACAGTGAAATATATTTAGAATTTGATATTAGAGTTTTGCTAAACATAGATGCTTACACTGTAAGCATAAAATTACTACTTAAGCTGCTTTTCTTGTTTGCCTCTGAGTATATTTAGGGGAAAACAGTGCAGTATTTCACAGTCTATAAGAGTAAATAACTCTGGATACTTTTATCATTGTTTTCTTTTTATATAAACATGAATTAAATCATCTCTTGCAGGAATATGGAGTAAACTGCTCAGATATAACTGTAGAAAGGATTTGGAGCCATCTAGATGTATTTGCCTGGGGACACTTTTTGGGATGGATGTTTAAAGCTGTATTAGTTCGACATTTTGGCATATTATGGGCCATTAGTGTTATGTGGGAATTCACAGAGGTTAGCAGAATTGCTACCATTACCATTATTTTGAATT